AAGCGTAATTAGCCTCCATTTTGGGCAAAATGGGAGTCTTAAGAATGCAAGAAGAAGCATGTAGTTGTTTTGCACGAAGTCTTGCGGTTATTAGGAGACCCTCTCCTTCTGCTCAGATTACTGCAAAAGCCGTGGAAGAACACGTTCAATATGAAAGTACAAACGCAAAAAGCGTCGAATAAAATCAGATTTGTCATTTAAGAATATAGGTTGTTTTTTTTTGTTCAGTGGGGATATTTGCAACATCTGGCGTGAAATTGAGCTAAGAAAAATACTGGGATACAGTCAGAATGAAAAGTGTAAGCTTGTGTCGAAGGTTGGCCACAAAGGATATCCAATGGTCGACGTAAATTTCCGATGATATGACTTACAATATGCTTCCATCAAACAGAAAATGCCTTCTGTTTAATATATCAGTAGTACAGCAGGTTAATGGAGCTTTAATAGCTGTAGAATATAGTAAATTCGATGTGATGAAAACTTCATGCAACAAAATCAACACAACTGGGGTATCGAAGGTCGTTCAAAAGACTGTATGATTTTTGTGCAGTTTCTTATTTACGGCCTACTTTTTTTTATGACAGGGTATTATATGAAGCATAACCACAATGATACCAAGATGCTTGCAAAACTCAGAGCCCAAACCAGATCTGAACCAGCGATTACGCTTTCCTGGGGCTGACAGAAAGGCAGAAAGAGAGCCTCAGTTGTGCGGTGGATAATGCGTGAGCCCCTGGAAAGGGTAATCATGAGTTCTAGTCTGGTATGTGGTATGGGTTTTGCAAATATCTTAGCATCACTGTGGTTGCGTGTGTTTTTTCTAAGAATAACTTCTGAAACTGCAAGTTTTTGCACTACTGGTTTTTCGTCGGGTGTGGAAAAGTAACATAGGCGTTCTCTGAAGCCATTTTCGCTCGACTAGGATGTAAAGTGTCTTGGATACGAAAGTTACAACTCCGTCGAAAGGAAATAGTGCTCCCTCCACTCCACAAGATTCGACGGGGGTGCACTCGGAAGAACAAGTGCCTGTGGATAATCGACTCGGGCTATTCCTCCACCAGGAAGAAGAGTATGCTGAAACGTCTACAAATAAATGTTTTAAAATAACCATGTGTTAGCCTTCTCCAGGAAGGACTTTCTATAAACCTCGGCATTGATCAGTATGAGATCGGTAACACACTGATTGTTTGGTAAGCGGACGCGCTGTTTTTGTTACACTATTTGTTCACATCAGACGGGGTTTCGGCAATTTCGCCTTTTTCTGAGATTGGAGAGGTCAAACGGACATGCAATCAACTCAGTCGAATACTCTGCCTCAGTAGGTATACAACCACAACGTTGCTGAGATATTTGCAAAACTCTGGACCGCAGGTGTCTATGGTGGGGAACGAACGCGCTATTATCCTTTCCGGGGAGTAACGCGTTCACCACCACACCATGCGGGTCCTTTGTTTCGCACGTCTCTCAGCTATTTCTATCGATCTTTTTGCCAAAACAATCACCCGTCAGCGTCAAAAAGATCGATAGAAATAGCTGAGAGACGTGCGAAACAAAGGACCCGCATGGTGTGGTGGTGAACGCGTTACTCCCCGGAAAGGATAATAGCGCGTTCGTTCCCCACCATAGACACCTGCGGTCCAGAGTTTTGCAAATATCTCAGCAACGTTGTGGTTGTATTTCGCTTAGTAACCTGCCATGAAAATTATAGAAGGCAGAAAACAAAAACGTTAAACATCAGTAGGTATAATTTAGCACATGAATTTTTATTCGAACAGTAAACAGCTTCTTTTAAACATTCAAAGCCCCTTCTTTTCGTTTTATATTGTTTACTTCTTTGTTCCTTGTAAGTCTTGGAGTTATTTGAAAAAAACTAACTGCACAGAGTCCTACGTGGGTCAGTTCAACAATGTGTCTGGCTCCGCTCTACAAATGAACCCCAGATATGGCGCGAAGCCACGCATGATCACTAGGCACTCCTCTTTGCAGTCCATTTTTAGACTTTTGGAATTTATCCAAAACACTCCAAGAGTTTTACGCGTTCACGGTTTGACGTCCTGTGCCAGGATAGTGACTCCTTCTTCAAAACCTTCCCCGTTATGTCTTCGTGCCCCATACGTAGCTATACGTATAAGTGCTCCACAGTGGTGTGTTCTGATTGACTTTATGTTTCCCAAGTAGGTGCTCTTTTCCAGATAACCACAGTGGTCTACCTGTTTTGCAAGCGTACTCGTCCCCACATCCTTCCAAAGCGATTAGCTACACCGTGCCCGACCTTATGCAATCGCCATCTCTACCGTTAGGGCAAATTATGCAAATTTGTGTTTGGCACAGATGATAATACACAACAGGATCAACTAACCAGCTCTTGGAGTTGTCAGCGGTGTTTCAATAAATGCTACAGATTTTTTCTAAACCGGCTCTTTCTATGCAACGTTTTATAGCTGCGCTTATTTCGATGTAAGCGAACGCAAGGATAAACGAAACCTTGTTTTCGCTAGACATATTGGTTAACGAAATGGGTTTTTCTGTAAACCTGTCGCTAGCAGCTACCACTTCGTGGCCAATGGAAATGGTTATTCCCCGCGCCGATTCAGGGATTTCACTGTCCTTTTTAAGTGTGATTGGTGGAAGTAAAGGCAATAAACCGGTATGTTCTTGTTAAGTTGGATTTTGGTAGCATTTGATGTGGCCGTTTCTGGACAGGTTTATTTGAACCTTCGAGAAAGAAAGTCGGTCTTTCTTCGGTTTCTCCCTGGTGAAGTTTATGTCCTTTGCATGTCGGATTACCTATTTAAAACATTTTTCTGTTTCCACTTGTGTTAAGCATATGACGATAACATTCTGGCGATATACCTACAGCAATGTTTTGACACCCAGTACAGCAGCTTCAACTTTAGACATGAGCGCAATTGGAAGGTTCGGTGGCAATCGCTTTCCCATTGCAAATCCTCTCATTTGTGCGAAATACTTCACAGATTACCTGAAGATTGAGGAGTTAAAGCCCTCCTTTAAGAACGAGCACCATGAACGGGTGAATCGAGAAGCAACACTTGTTTATTGCTCCATCGTGTTGTACAGGGAGCTCACGGCTTTCTCGTAAATATTAAGCAGAACATGTTGCCAAGGCAACTTTAAGTTGAGAAATAGTTCTTTAATTCAATCATTATACAATTTTCGCTGATGACTTTTGGATTCCCCTTCAGATGAAGGTGCTAAAAAAAACAACTTCAAGCTGCAGTTGAAGTAACAATATTGGACTTTTATTTACTGCCTGTTACTTTTTTCTTGACAGGGTAAGTAAAGGATAAAGCTCCCGGCGTTGATCAATCCCTGAGGGAAGCGCCATGCATTCGACTTCATTAAGCATTGTTTGGAGATGCCTGAATACATATATAGCCTTTACAATGACTCGCGGTGGCCAACCGATGCATCGTCCCAGTCCTGTTATCCTCCTAGATAGGTCTGGTACCAATTTACCAACCCCGGAGGGATGGAAGGCTTGGCGAGGCATGGGCGCAGGGATCGATTCCACGGGCGTGTTGCAGGGCGCCTCTGGTCACCGAGAGTGTGGCAGAGTATTATGTGAAATACAATCACGATGGCATTGAAAATTTAGCAAAACTCGGAATTCCAGGAAAGCTTCGAACCCTCTATTAACGTTTCCAGGGGCTGATGTGTTTTCCACTGCACCACCGAGGCCCTTACTTTGACTTTCTTTCAGCTATTTTTTACCCTAGCGGTGCTGTCAGCAATCACCAGTTAACACGTATGATCTGGAGAGCACAAATCGTAGTTGAACCAAATTAAGCTGAAACTGAAGTCGAAGGTAGAATGTTGAACCTTTTTCACCGCCTATTGGGGTATTCTGTGAAGTACAGCCACAATGGCTCTTAGATCTTAGCACAGGTGAATGCTGATAGCACCGTTAGGGTAAAAGAAACTGGTATCTTGTAAAAATCTATTCGTTATCTAGCTGACGAGAAATAACTACGAACTCCTCGCCATTGTCACTAGTTGATGATCAAATGGTTCTAATAGCTTAGACTTTATTAGTTCTGCATGCTAAATTCACACTCTTTCTCGGACCCAATTCAAATAGGTAGCACCGCCTTCAGAGAAAGTCATATCTCTTCAAACGGTGACTTTTGACTTTTCTGGCGCATTGTGGACAGCATTTAACCCTTATGGCTTTCGTAAACGCTATTTCGTTGCTCAATTGAGGCCAATTTATGTGATTAGTTCAATAGGTTTCCGAATTTTGTGCTTAAGATTACTTAAGCAATCGGCCTAGATTTTCGAGTTTTATGCTTAAGGTTACCAGAACGATCAACTTCATTGAACTGCAAATCAATATTCAGCCATTCTCCACCAAAGATGATCCTCAAAATACTGAGCACAATATGATTCCTTCGACTCGCACTTCTTCAATTGAGCACACATGTTGTCCATCTTGCATCGATGAGATGTGTGTAGTATCCGATGTTCAGTATTTGGTAGCCGTCCTCTGGTAGACCTTGTTATTACAGTCGTTTTTGTTCAATGAAATTCGGTTTGCCTGGCTGAGACAACGTTCTGGCTTAGTGACAAGATTTATGGACAGGTGGAAAATATTTTGCTTTTACGTGATGTAGCAAATCCTAAGGCGGGCTTTCTTGATTATTTCTGTGGAGGTTTAGTAAAAGCCGATTTTCAATACAGTACTACGCCACCTTCCAGCTAATGAAATGTCGACTACTGAGGGATGTCTTGCCGTCAAAAAGATGAAAAGTGGGAATAGATCACCATCTTTCCTTTGTAAATGGGCCACCTCAAAGAGAGGTTCTTCATTCGAGCGATGCGAGCTCCACCGGGTTTAACCCGAGGCGATAACGAACACCAACATAGCCAGAGCGACTACATTGGGCCACCGACTCGGATCAATCCGGCTCCGAAGAAGACGAGGAAATCGGAAGGTTAGCTGAACAGATCTTATTATACTTACCTCGTGATAGCTCAAAAATCTAGAAACACATGATGTCAGCGTGTTTATCTTTCCTGGCAATTGTGTTACTATTTTGCCGATCTTGGTTTTCCTGGGGTTATTGAATCGAACCAACTGTGTGTCTAGTATGCCTACTCTAAACTCTGCGCTACCAAAATGAATTCTGTTACTTTCCCAACGTTTTCTAAAAGTTTCTATTGTTATTTGCTTTCCATTTACAGAACAACACACATGATGCTTTAATGGTTTCCTTTGTATCTCTGGTTGATAAGTCTTCAATTAAAAAATTTAATTTGTACAAAAGTTTTGTTTTGCATTTATGAAATACTGGGTCATATCACTTTTTTCGCCGAATGGGTGAATGAGTCGGTGGTTTGAGATCTGGTGAATCCTTTGGTCGTATTGCCGGATACGCGGAACCTGAAAGATGACAGAGTGAGACATTTGAAGATTTGAGCAAATTATCGACTAGTAAGTAGGTCACTTTTCGCACAACGACGAAACCGATATCACATTAAAAAGACATGAAACCCACCTAAATGAATCGCAAGCAATCGACTTTGACAGTGGCATTCGTCTGTTGTGTCATTCAATGGAAGCAAAGCATGCGGACATTGATAGAAAGCCTGGAAAACTGGTCCTAGCTCCGGGAATATTGTCTTGATTCTACTTCTTCACGGGGACAAATAGATATTTTATTACGATCCTAGCACGTTTTCGGCTCGCTCACCTGTAAATCTTCACCGGCTTTCTCCTCAATCTCACAACCATCACAAAGACATCGATCACATCCGATTTCTTTCCTAAGGAAAATTCTTGGCTACATATCAATCATTCCTTCATAGACCAATCTCTCAGCCTCTTCCTCAATCTGTCTTTCTACTCGTGATTATTTTAGTGTTATCTTTTATCTATAGATGACATCTGTTCCTTGAAAAATTAACATACTGTACTACCTGCATGGAATGGCGTTCACCTTCACCTTCATACCGTCTTTAGTTCTTAAACATCGAGGACATCGATCTAGTTCGGTGGAAAAGTGATCCATACGATGTATTGTCCGAAAAACATGCACCGTCTGCGAGGAAGGATTTTAGAACAGCATCATATCGACAAGACAGATTTTATTATGCCCTTAATAGCTCTTTGCCACATGGTAGTAAGGGTTCTCTCTTGGGTGCCCAACTACAAAGTTCAGCGCCGGTCATACTTAAAATGTGGTACCTCTCGCTTCATGCTTAATTCTAGCTCGAGACAAGGAAAAATCGAATTTGTTAGTACTCACACTGGTTATTCAATGACTAATGGGATCGAAAAATTTGTGGGATTTCTTTACTCCGGATATTCCACACTTTACTAAGACATAGTGAGCCCTACTCGTTTCGAAACGATGCTGTTACATTGATATACAACATGACAATTTAGGCAAATACATGGATACGTTTTCTGAAAAATTAGTAAAACTTTTCACCTTTTCATAGCAACCTCTTAACTTGGCTGCGATAATGTCGGCAAACACTCGTTCGCTCATCATATGACGATGTTGCTCGAGTCTGGCTAAGGAAAGTCGAGCCACCACCGGTAAACAGCTTGATTGTACCTAGAAAATCATTTGGTGGAGATCCAGAATTTGAGAAACTGCCAATGTCTCAAACATCGCCCATAGTTCGTCAGCACTTCTCACTTTTGCACGACCCGAAATCACATGCTATGCGGAAGCCAGTGCTTCTTGCACTAGACTCGTTTCCTTGCACTTCCTCCATCTAGAAAGGTCTTCGGGTTCTACGTAAGGGTTCAGTTGCGGGCTCAGAATTTTTGGTCTTCTTCAAAAATGCGGCTGAAATCTGATCCAGTCGATTCCTTTTCAAATCTTGGAATAGCCGTGATAGAGTGTTCCGAAATCATCACCACAAGCAGGCGCAAAAGCGTTGCAAGTCAAACCAGGGAATATTAGGAGAGCAGTCTAGTACCATGTCCGCGACATCTGGGAGATAGTGGATTTGGTGGGTTTGGTAGGCTTGGTTTGATATCGAACAAGAGCTCTGTTTACACATAACGGCCATAACGGCCATGCACATTACCACTGCACCACCATCACCATACTTCATCGTATAGGCTACTATTTGAGTTAAAGTCCACGGGCTTTTTTTGAAGGAAAAACATTGATCACGGATATGATGAAGTACCTATAGCAAAAGATGAACGTCTAGGGTCTCTCAGAAATACTGATCCACTTTTAATTGAATCCATTTAACAGCGTTTTCTTTGAATGCGATCACTTTTGATGATTTTAATAATTATGTCATACTTGTTCATCAAAACGATGCTTCAGACACCAGTTCAACCAGCATAATGCAACGATCGGCTGTCGATTGTACACCTGTAAGGCAAAAATGGAGAGACGACCTCACTCATGGATTAAAAATGGGTAGCACATAGTCAAGATGTCAGTAATTTGACATCTTGAAATTATGAGAATTCAAAAAGTTAAGATAACAAGAAAACGTTTTAATTCCTTCTAATTCGGCTTTTCTGGTAGCGAACATGATACTGATGATCGGAAATATTCTTTGTACTGGAAGAAATCCTATATCGTAATACGGAGAGAAAATAGTTTCCGACAGAATAGCAAATGTTGTATTGGTTTAGAATATGTGGAACAATTTTCTTTCTTTTCAGAAAGAAACAAACATTCTCAAGAATGAACTTAGAGCATCGAACAACGAGTCCATTGGCTTTGAATCGGCGCGACAAACGCATGCACGTCTCCAGTGTGTCATCTGAAAACCATGATTTTAATCCGTGAGATCATGATTGGTTGTGGAAATACACACATATGAAAGAATCATCTAACGAAATCTAAATCTGTGAAAGAGTCATAGCTATTGTAGAAGGCAATGAGTTTTAACAAGACAACGATCTCTGTATCGGTAGCTGTTGCACACCAAGAAAAGAGGAAAGATAGGTGGAAAGGGCAAAAGGAGCAGAATGATTTTTAAAAACATTCGAGAATAACGTTCCAGTATGGTAAAACGCGCTCGCTGCATCCTTAGGATGTCCTTTTATATTAACTGCAACTGTAGAACGAGAAGCATTTGTGAACCAATCGATACCTATCCAAAGCGTTAAGCTGGTCGACGACTATTGGATGGACATCTCGACAAATCGAGCAGATAATTCGCTTATTTGAAGCATACTGAATATATGCAGCACTATTGAGGGTTCTTACAATCCTCTCGACCACTTCCCCGGGATATCCGACTTCAGTCTCCTCCTCATCTTTTGATAATCATACAATGCTTTTAAGTGACGCTTGCTTAAAAACTAGCAAATTACTTTTTGTAAAGAAGGATTAAAAAGTTAAAAAACTTTTACTTAATTCTCTGGTAGAAGAAACAGTAGAAGCATGGAAACTGCCTCCTGCTTTGGACCTGTAACGCCAGAACAGTCTCTTCAGGGGCCGATCTTTGCGTTCTTCTCAAGGACACCAACAGCATTAAATTCCATGCGGCCGCCTTACAAGGAACGAAAAGCAGGAAGTTCAACATATAAGGAGGAATTTACAATGCGAAATGACAGACATTTTATAAAATCTGGATGGTGGATCGACCGACATGAGCAGGGCAGTAATTAAAATCAATATGCATAGGACCTTCAACAAGCAGTCGTCGCCATTGCTTTAATGTTGTAAATATTTATTAGATGCTTCATAGCTAGGAGAAAAATATACAGGTGTAATGACGAGTTTTTGGGAGCGTTTGACGCAGTGGTCGGAGGCGCCCTGCAACACACACACGTGGGATCGATTCTCGCGCCCGTGGCCCACCAAGCCTTCCATCCTTCCGGGCTCAGTAATTTAGTACCAGACTTGTCTGGGAGGAGAGCAGCATTGGCTCGATACATCGGCATATCACCGCGAGTCATTGTAAAGGCCAGATATTCATTCAATCATCTCCAAACGACGCTTAATGAAGTCGAAGGCATGGCGCATCCTCGGATATTGATCAACGGCGAGATCTCTATCTTTTATCTTTTTTTATCATTAAATGTTACTCACCAATTTGTACAGCTGATGAGAGCGAATTAAACAGGTTCCACTGTTTTACAGCGAATTGAAGGAAGAATTTTACAAGAAGTCCTTCTATAAATTCGTTTTTGTAGACATCAATGAAAGATTAGGAACTGTCAACGAAAATGAATGCAGGACAGGGCATACCTAAGGTGAAAATCGAAATGAGATTGGAAACCGTTTCGTAGGAGCAGGGTGAGTTGAGAAGAATTCCGATAGAAATTCTGCTATATGGACCACATCCAAACCGTACCATGGTTCATAGAAATCAATGAAGAATACAATTTCTTCATTGTAATAATCTTTCCCGAGTATGAAAAAGCGTTTCAAAGCGTCGAAACGAATGCAATCCTGTCAGCGCTCGTCGACCAAGGGTTAAATCCCTCCTAAATAGAAACCCTATCTAAGTGTTATCTGGACTGCAACACAAATATACAGCTTTTCAATCGACCCCTTACCATACCCATAGCAAAAGGGGTTCGATAAGGCAACACAATATCGCCGAATCTGTTTACTGACGCACCAGTGGTTAATGGAGTCACTCGATTGGAACGAGAAGGACATACGTATTGATGGAAAATTCCTACCAAATCTTCGTTTGGTGGATGACATCGTTGTCTTTTCGAGGAGTGCCAATGAAGCAGAAAGAATGCTCAGTGAGCTCAACGAAGCGGGAGAAAATATTAGACTGCGCATAAATAGAACGAAGACTCGCTTCATGAAGTGCTCACGGTGTGAAAGCGAACCATTCGAAATTTGTGGCTCTCTGATTATAGAAACCCCCTGCAGGTGTACGCTGAAGGTTCAGTGAACATGGAGAAAAACATGAGGAAGAAATTAGAAGAAGGACGGCAGCATAGTCCTCATTCATGCCACTCAAAGAAGCCACCGAACCTAGAACTGCGCGCTCACTTTTTCCATTCAACAGTCCACCCAGCACTCTGTTACACAGCAAAGACGTTGGCTGACACCGTAACAACATTAAAGGCGAAACTCAGATGGGCCAGTCACACACTAAGAAGAACAGATGACAGATGAACGAAAAGAACAGTTGAGTACACTCTAAGAGAATGCAAGTGTCCCTTTGAAAGGTCATTCAAACGATTGGTGGACGTGTTCGTCGCTAACGTCATCTATTCGCAGATGACAACGAATTCAGAACTACGGAGTGGGTCTCGCAGACGTCATCATGTTCGAAGCAGGCCACCAGCATAGACGACAACTGAACGAGAAAGAAACGAATGGAAATTTTGCTAGGGTCCGTACAACCAGTGAAAGCGGGCCATTCAACTACCGAACTAAATGAGTAATTCACTGGTAGATGAAGGAAGACCAACAGAGACAGCTCTCTTCGGGTAATCACATAGTGTTAATCAAATAAACACGGCAGTTCGTTATTTTTTCTTCCTTGGTTTCTTTGCTAAAAAATTGTGACATTAACCTCTGAACGGGACATCTTCATAGATATCTTGTAATGAAAAAATAACAAAAAGAAGAATAGTTGGAGAAAAGCAGATACCAGGACAGACAGATAGACAAGTAGGGAAACAAAAAAAGAAAAAAGAAAGACAGAGATAATGAATAATTTTGAAAAACGAAAAGCTCATACTTCCATTGTGGACTCAATAGAGGCCATAAAAAAGCTCTCGGTGTTGATCAATCTCTGGGGGATGCGCCCATGCATTCGACTTCATTAAGTATCTTTGGAAGTGATTGAATGCATATCTGGCCTTTACAATGACGCACAACGGATCTCCCTCATATAAGGGATCTCGAATCGGTTAGTCGCGAGGCTACATGCCGCGTCCCCAGGTGGCGGATAGGGGTTAATCGCGGACCAAAAGCGGCCCCTGCTTCCCTGAGACGAACGTGCATCCAGAGGATGGACTCTGTTTTTGCTGAGCTGATTTGGCACATACTTTATTTGCTAGGGGTACTCATGCATGCGTGTGTGGGTGCGTTCTTGTTTATGCGGATTGTGTCGTTTTCTTGTTCAACAATCGTGAGGTTTTTAAACAGCATACATTTACTTCCATAGAAAAACACAACACAATACAACGCCAGCTGACGCAGTATCGCCTTTTTCAGAGCCTTTTTTGTAAGTGTTATTGAAGCCTTTGGCCTAGTAGATTGTATATCAGTATACCCTTCCAGGCTCTGAAGAAGGCGATACTTCCGAAACGTCAGCTAGCGTTGTATTGTATTCTGTTTTTCTATGGAAGTAAATGTATGCTGTTCAAAAACCTTGCGATTGCTGAAAGAGAAAACGACACATTCATATTCCAATGCCAAGGTTAATAGAAAGTCGATCCTGGGAACTATGCGGATTGTATTCTACGAGTTAACTCGGCCAAAAGCCTGCAATCAAGTGACAAGGAAATATATGGGAGGCGGTTAGGAGTTGTCTCCAACAAATAAGCTCCATGTCCATTCTGGGAGAGCCTGGCAAGGTACCCGTGAGTATACCCAGCCCTTACATTCAGAGACCAGCGAGCTATATGTGGGTATTAAAATGCTAAACAAAGTAAAAAAAAACGAACCACATTCCCCTTACCCCGAAAGCGCTCTAATTTCGAAGCGTTAGGTAGGGCAAGTACATACAGGCTGCTAAAATCCTATTGCCAATGGAAGATGCCTTGATCACGAAGAACTATGGTGGTGATCAGTACATATAATGCTCGTACACTTGCATCCGAGTCCTCGATAGAAGACTTGCTCGTGCAAACAAGAAGGACATGGTACGACGTTATCGGCCTGCCGAGACGAGACGACACAACCCATCCAACTCCATCTGTGACACCGGAGAAGAACTGTTCCTCGGAACATGCGAGAGTAGAGTCGGCGGCGTCGGCGTTCTCGTCAATATGAGTTTGTCCATGAACATCGATTTATTCGAACAACTGACAACCCGAATTAGACGTGTACGATTAAAAAGACGTGGATCAATTCCGGCTTGGACAATCTTCGTCGTTTACGCGCCGACATGAAACTATGACGAAGAAAAAGCCGAAGCGCTCTATATGGACTTAGACAAGTTCTACAGAGAAGACCACACATTCTTCAAGGTCATCATTGGACATTTCAACGACAAGATTGGACCAAGAAGAACGTCTAAAGAATGTCACATTGGAAAACATGGATTAGAATGGAACGAACAGGGTGAGCTGCTATCTGAGTTTATCATGGCGACCAAGATCATCCATGATAACGCGCAATTCCAGAAGCCCCATTCTCAACGCTGGACGTGAAGTCTCTCAATGGAGAGTACCTTAACGAAATAGACCACATCATAGTGAATAGAAGGTTTTCCCTAACTGGCGTCGCTGTTGTCCCAAAAATTTACACGGGATCATCAGACCATCGTCTCCTTTGTGCAAGATTCTATTCCCCGCGGAAAGGAGAAAAAGCCGCTAAATTCCAAAACCCAAGTCCCAGAACCACTACAAACCGGGACTTATTCAATTCGTTAGTCGGCTGTTGGGAAGATGTCGTTGTCGATAACATCGACGAAGAATACGACCGGCTCATTCAACATCATCATGTCAGCGCCATGAAGGCTGGGAGTTCGAAAGTCACCAGGAGACGACTGTCTCCAGAAACACTTGAGCTGATACGCCAGCGTGGAATTGCACGAGCTGCAGGCAACGGCGAACTAACGTCTGAACTTGCAAAACAATGCAGAGAGGCGATACAAGATCTTAGAGAGGAAAGAGCAGCAGTAATGGTCGAAGCTACAGAGGCTGGGAAAAGCATTCGCAATGCCCACCGGTGCTTCGCCAATTACAGGACCAAAATTATTGCACCACGGCGCCCAGACGGAACAGTTACAGCGTGCAGAAAGGCAATGGAGAAAATCATTCACGAATACTACTCGGATCTCTTCTATAGCCACCTCCACCGTCCGTCATATGAAATAAAGGAGGATGTATATGTTGTACCACCGGCTCACCCTTCCGAAATCCAACATGCCATTTCGTCGGTGAAAAATCGAACAGCACCATGTCCAGACAGGATAAGAGCTGAACACCTGAAGAACCTTCCGCCAGTCCTCGTAAACATACTGGCTCGGCTTTTCACACGTTACCTGTCTTAATGCAAGGTCCCTACTCAGTGGAAGACCAGAAGACAGTGTTATTGTTCAAGAAGGGTGACCTACACGATGTAGGAAACCATCGCCCAATCTGCATGCTGTCTGTCGCCTACAAACTTTTCACTCGAGTCATCCTTAACAGGATTGATAGAAGACTGGACGAAGGACAGTCATGTGAGCAAGCAGGGTTTCCAAAAGGATTTACTACGATGGAGCACATTCACACGGTAACACGGGTCATTGAATTATTGCGAAAGTACAAAAGACCGCTCTGTCTTACTTTCATCGATTTACAGAAGGCCTTTGATTCAATCGAGATAGAGGCAGTCATAGAAGCCCTTGATAGTCAAGGAGTCCCTACTCAGTACACAAAGATTCTTCGTGAGCCGTGCAAAAATTTCACAACCAAGATATCACTATTCTACAGCGATATTAACATTGACGTCAAAACAGGAGTTAGGCAAGGCGATACCACCTCGCCAGAATTATTTACCGCCACACTCCAGAACGTCATGCGAACATTGGAATGAGATAATATGGAAGTGAAAATCGATGATCGGCAGTTACATCATCTTCGCTTTGCTGATGAAATCGTTCTTATAACACCAAACATTAGCCAAGCGGAATGTATGCTTGATGGCTTTGATAAAGGCTGTGGAAAGATTGGTCTTCGACTAAATCTCAGAAAAGCGATGTTCGTGAAGAACGGATTGGTTTTGTATGCCCCATTAACGCTCAAGGAACGAATATCTCCGAATGCTCCAGTTATGTCTATCTGGGTCGGGAAATCAATGTGATGAACGACCTAGCTCCAGAGCTGAGCAGAAGGAGACGAGCGGCTTGGGGAGCTTTCAAGAGCATCGAGGATGTAGAGAAGAGAACAAAGAACACCTGACCCCGTGCCCACCTTTTCGACTCAACGGCACTTCCTGCCCTAACGTATGCATCAGGCACCTGGTCGCTGCGTAAATAGGATGAATGATCACTCAGCGTTATCGAACGCGCATTCGAAAGGACGATGCTAGGAGTATGCCGTTCCCCACAAGTAACGGAAAGGATCCGCATCTCCGACCTGCGTCAACGATCAAAACTTAAAGATACCGTTCTGTTCGCCAAACAATCGAAGGTAAGGTGGGCGGGACACGTAGTGCGTATGAATGAGAACCGATGGACAAGAGCCGTCAGTGACTGGTTTCCTCGGGATGTCAAACGTACTGCAGGAAGACCACCGACCGAATGGTCAGAGTTTTTCAGGAAGAGCGTAAAAGAAAGATATGATGCTCGACGAGTCCTAGAGCGAACAGAACCCACTGGGCTACTCTTGCACGCGACAGTGAAAAATGGAAGATTTGCCGGCTCCGCTCGAGTCACTTGCCGACCAACGGGACTACTGGTAACACAGGTGATAGAATGACTCGCGGTGGCCTAGCGATATATCGAGCTAGTGTCACTATCATCTGAGACAAGTCTGGTACCAATTCACCTACCCCGGAGAGATAGAAGGCTTGGTGGGTCATGGGCGCTGAGATCGATTCCACGTGTGTGTCGCAGTGACGTCTCCAACTACTGCGCCACACGTGCCCGATAGAGACCATATTTTCAAAAGCGAATGAGTCCGTTAGTAAATGAGAAATAAAGTCACAGCCTTCTACTCTAACGAACTCACTAACAAATAGATTTGGAGAACTGCTTAATCATCCACTCCTCTGTTTCTATTTGGTTCATAACAATTTTTTTATTCCTAGTTTTTTTCTAGATATAAGGGCAACTCTTTTCTAAGATGGGAGTGGAAGCTGACATGATTTAATCCAATAGGAAAAACACTCGATAAATTTCTACAACGTTACTCTAATGAAATCAAGGTTTGTGGTAGATGATCTTACTGGAAAGTTGGGATAACATGCGAGATACAAAAAATAAAAGTTAAACGAGGAAACAGAAAGAAAATTAACCAGTAATGTCTCTGAGTGCGGGACATGGAATACAGCTCTCGACGAACCATCGAAACTGCGTTGCAGGCGCCGGAGTTGACAAGCCCGAAACGGCAACCTAAGCAGGAAATTTTGTGGATAACGACATTTTTTCGTTTCAGAAACACAGTAGGTTTGTTTTTCGTGCTCAGATATTACTCGATTAACCCAAAATTTATTTTAAATGTAAGAAAAACCTGAAGGTCGAACAGCAGCAGCGGCAACGGCAAACCTGAGCCAAAGCAGAAGCACATTACACTTATGAAAAAGTAACGAACAAGCAACATATGCACTATCATAAATATGAAAACGGCGTAATAGACGTTTTTCTTTTCGAAAATTCAACGTGAAAACATTTAAGCCTTTTGCTCCGACAGCTATTCAGTCCACTTATACAACTTGAAATCCAGTCATATCACCGACTGACTCAAGCAGTCATCAATCAAGTGTCAATCGTTCGCTCAACGAACCATTGACAACGCCACGTAGTTTTCGTATGAAACCTCCTATCCTTTGCCTAGCTTTTTCACAGCAGTATTGAGGTTCACCTGTTGAAGGCATCTCCTACGTACTACCCCATTCATATGATTCCAGGCACTCGGTCGAATATACGTTCAGGATACTACCTGTGTACTCAGAAGCACACAATCAATGTGCGCGATTTTATATACATATATATATATATATATATATATCACAACCTTAACCCTTCTATTTACTGCTTTTTCCTTTTTAATGGCAGGGTATGTTTCGAAATATAAGTCGTATATAAAACTGAGATATTTGCAAAACTCCGGACCGCAGGTGTATGCGGTGGGAAACGAACACGCGCTGTTGTCCTTACCGGGGAGCAGCGCACTTCACCACCGCACCTTGCCATCAGCAATCACGCCATCAGCAATGCCATCAATCCCGTTGACGAACTAGCTGAGAGATAGGAGAGACGAAGGACCCGGATGGTGTAGCGGTGAAGTGCGCTGCTCCGCGGTAAGGACAACAGCGCGTGTTCGTTCCCCACCGCATACACCTGCAGTCCGGAGTTTTGCAAATATCTCAGCATTATATATGTATATGCATATATGTATACATACACACATGAACAAAGAGAAACGTGTACGTAGCTCGGTGGTTAAAGTTGCCTCCTAATACGTACATGGTCTATAGTTGGATCCCGTTTCGGGGTCAGAAAACCGGTGCTAGACACGTCTGAGACGACAATAACCATGGCTTGATAAATCGGAGGTCACTGGAAGTCACTGCTAGGGCAGATTTGCATTCAGTCATCTCTAACGATGCTTTGTGAACGCGAATGAATGGAGCATCGCTCATGATCAAGAGCAAAATTTTGATCACTTATACTGTCTATGGATTCACAAAGATTGTGTACAACGCAATGATTTAGCGCATTACCCTGCAATACACATGTTCGTTGATTCTACTTCCTAGACAACAAATTATCCTTCCTTTCGAAGTCTTCAAAATGAAGCCAGGCTTGTTTGCGAGGATAGAAGAGCCGACGTCATACACCGTCCAGTCTCCGAAAGTCACTCGAACGTCTATATTTTACACATGCCTTTTATATTTGAAGTTATCTGTAAAATCGCCACTACAAGTACAAAGAGTTTCTCTCCTGAATTTACTAGTAACATTATTTCTTCTTTGCCCTCTTGCGTAACATCTACTTAGAAGAGCATCATGAAAGCGAATATTTTTAGCCGAAAGCAAAAGAAAAGCACTGAATATGAAATTGAAGATTTCCATGAATGAAGAATGATTGACAGAATTAAAGGAGAATCGAAAAGTCTTCAATACATATCCAATAGAAAAGTTTCTCGAACGTTTTTCTAATAGTGTAGAAAGAAGATAAGATTCACTGTTTTCCTGATGAGAAGACACGAGCTTGTTATTACTATTATTAATTCACAATAGCTGACGTTAAGGCGTTTTGCTTTCGTCAGAGCCATCTTGTTTTTCATGTCTTCGGGTTATCGTTGTGGCCAGCTGCACAGATTCTTACACAGATGAGGATAGGATTCTAAAGATGCCCACGTACATGTACATCCTCGTTTTTGTCGTGCGCCAAAAATAAGTTCTTGAAGTATTCAGAAGCGTGGCAGAGTTGATGCCGACATATCAAAAACCGCGTGTTCTGGAATATACATAAGTTTTTGAAAAAAATAGAATCTAAAAAGAAGTAAAATAACGGTGGGAAGCGGAGTTCATCCTACCCCAACGGCATCGCTGATATGGAGCCCGAATAAGAGCGCGCCTAGTACAATTAACTCCATTATAGAAGAAACGTCGTCCCAAAATGGAAGAGATTCCAGTGAAGGAGTCCCACTTAACCAAAAGCACGACGGTTACATGGGAGATTTTCTGCGAACCACATTGATTCTCTTGAAGACGAGTCATTAAGGCATGGAAATATTCAAAACACCATTCAGTTTTGGAAGTATTCGAGTTGTTCTTCTATTGGCATAGCATTCACTTGCCTACAAATTGCGTCAAAAAAGAATAGAAGGTGTGCAGCACAGTGCTAGTGGTGCCGTTTATCACGAGCACGGTCTAGCTCGACTCCGACTAAGGTTTCCCAGCTCTCATCGCATAGGAGTCGGAAAATTACACCAAACTTCTCTGAGAAAAGTCCACTCCCTGTAATCCAAGTGGGGACAGTCTACCTTGAGTACCTCAGAACTCCAGGAACAGTCGACTTAAGTAGCATTCAACGACATACTTAAAGAAGAATACAGTCTTGAAGTTCCAACCCATTCCATATGCGGAAAGCTCAATGGCCTTTATAGATGGTGGATGCGAGGAAAAGAATCGAAAAATATTCTGAGATCCGAGTAGTAGGTAGGAATATGAAGACGGTGCATGTAAAAATAAATAATAAAAAATTGAAAAAACTATTAATTGCAAAACCTTTGAACAAATCAATAATTCTGGTTGTCAAAAAACCTGATGACTTTAGGGCTAAATGTTCTAATGCCTACTGTCTCCTTCGTTAGATTTCGCTTTAGGGAGCTCCACCTCCATCACCTTTACCATCATGAGAACATGTATGTCTTTGAAATTTCAATGAAAAATTTCAAAGCACCAACATTAACAATAATACTGGCAGAGCATCCTTCTAAGTGACATTGGCTATTGAGGTAGTCGAATGAATTGGCCACCGAACGATGCTTCTGAGGTGATTTGGACCGGCTGAAAAGCGGGATTTTCTAGCAAAACTATAAAATTCAATAAAATAAGAATATTCAGACGATCGCACATGAAGTCATAGAACACTAGAAAACGACACAATCTGAAGAATCCTTTCAGAGTATTGGGTAAATATTTTCAAGGCGTTGTGAGTCTCAATAGCTGTAATGGTAGCGAATCTGAGACGTTCACAAAATTGTATGGAAGTAAAGAAAAAAGGAGAGCGCTATACTACACTCAGATTAGGCATCACTTATTGGTTAATCATTCGCCAAAATCGACACGGTTCCTTTGCGCTCTGGACGAACTGGTCAAATAGTCAAGGGTGGAGCAACACTAAAAGGGCAAAGTCTACCTGTTCCAATTACTGTTCCGCAAACTAGAGATGAGCAACGTAACTACACCAAATATCGCGAAAGCATTAGGTTCTTCAGTTAGATGTACTTGCTGCGACACTTAGCTGACTCATTTTTCTTCACGAATCCTTCTGGATCAAGCATTAAATCTCCATTAGATCGATGTTTTGATGATTGAATCAGTCTTTTCTTCGTCGATTACCGATATGTTGGGTCATTTCTCGTCTACCAACATTTGTTATTTAGTAGTTCAGGTGGATAAAACGCCGACTTTCTAGATTGCTGCTTAGGTTTCTTATAAAAAAGTTAACAAATGCTGATGTTGGTCTATGGATAGCAGTTATTTTATTAGAACCCGCACTACTCACCCCACTATTTCTATCTATTGAGTTTTGTAGTGTCGTAGATCTTCTTTTTACAAAATAATTCCGTTTTTCTTAGTTACTTGAAGCTTGAACGGCCCGTCCTCATTGGTTATACGAGCCACTGTGCCGGTTAACCTATTGTGCTTCCCTGGAATCCAGAGGTCAGATTGGCCAAAGTCTGCCCCTGGTCTTCACCACCACGGGGAGTCGCAGTCCTTGTGGATCAAAGGGAGATTTACCACCATGCGACTTTAACAGCAGGACGGTGGCGGAGTGGATTCTGTTATAGGTTTACTCCTAGCTGGAGTTTCTGATGGAAACACCGGACTCCTTCTCATCTTGGGAGACCCGGCCGGGAGAGTAATTCCCCCGCTGTAGATCGCAGTACCCAAAAACACCTCCCAGCCACGATGAGGCGGTAAACCGTTGCAGAATTCCGTTTTTAACCGCAACTTATAATAGAATTTTCATTCAGATAAACGCATTCATGACGACTGCTTTGATTCAAAGACATGTTGGGCGAAAACAATGGCCACCTTGAGCTTTATAAGGGCACATCTCAGCAAATAATGAGCATCATTGATTCAAGGAAAAATTGGAATCTACAGATCTTTACTGATACAGCTTATGCATTGTCTTGGTCTCGTAGATATTTTTTTCCTGACACTACTACATTTTTTTTAGAGCGTTACATTAAATAAATTTAAGTAATTCCTCACCTTGAGTCTCACCGTATTTAGGAGAACTAATTGAACACGAGCAGTAATAATCTTATCCACTTTAACCTATTGATTTGAGAGTCTTTAAAGTCATTAGAAATGTTTACAGTATTCTAATCACTCCTGTGTTTTTGGAGAACCTTTTCTCGCTTTTCGTGAAAAAAAGAAACTCTACCTTGACGTCTTATCGTCGTGATTTCGGCGCTCCTTTCGTGGCGAATACGATCGCGTGCGATGCATACCGTTCATACTCGACGCCTCGAACAACGACGGCTCGTCGAAGTTAGAACTGTTCTCCTTTGGCAGGTAGAAGTGGTTCAATGTGCCGTTAGCCAAGTCTCGAAGTGGCTTTGTGATGTCGTCACGCCATTGTTCGGTAGCTGATCGACCCACGAAATCCGACCGTTCAGTGTTCCATGAATGAATCCCTACTGACTCCTGGAAACTATATTCCTGGAAGATTTTTAAAAGATACTTACATAGCAATGAAAAATATTAACAGCATACTGAGGACTTCTTAGAAAAGTGCATAAAATTCATGTTTTTAAGGCGTATATTGAGGTCATCCAGTAATGTCAACAGTTTCATAAAATAGGAAGGACAAAACAGCGCTTCGAACACATTAGCAATGACATGAGCAATATGTGTCACATTCCTGGTATTGTCTGTTTTTTTCGGTAACTTTAATCTATCATTTCTGAGAGATAGGTGAAAGGAACGACCCGCATGGTGTGGTGGTGAACGCGTTAGCCCCGAAAAGTGTAATAGCGCGTTCGTTCTTCACCGTAGACACCTACGGTCCGGAGTTTTGCAAATATCTCAATATCATTGTGGTTGTATTATGGTATTTGTGAGATTTTCACTTCTCTACAACGGTAGAACTTCAGCGTAAAGAAAATGATTCGAAGTGATAAGGGTATTGCGTTAAAATTATTCATTACCCTGGAGAACATCACTAGAAGAGTGGAAAGGGATAACATAGATTGTGTAAGTATAACTGTCAGCTAGACTATCTTCGCCTTGTAGGTGACCTCGCATATATAAAATAAAGTGCTACCCAAGAGTAACAGACGATGCAGGCCGGTTTTGACAACGCTTGTAGAAAGATTGGTCTTTGCTTTATTCTTAAAAAAGTGATATTCATGAGGAACGGATTTGTTTTGATGTCCTCTTTACGCGCAACAGAATTAACGGATTGAATGTCTTAGAATGTTCCGCATATGTATATCTCGGTCGGGAAGTCAACATGATGATTAACGTGGCTCTAAACTGAGCAGGGTGAAGTGAGTGGCTTGGGGAGCTTTGAGAGCCCCGAGAGGTTGGTTAAAAAGACAAAACACCCAATTTCACGACCTGCTTAGCTGTACCATTCTTCCTGAGTTAGGACTCGACTCGTGAACTTAAGCTACTCATGAACGCGACGAGGACAGAAGCACCTCTCTCAAATCACTTGATGATTAATGCAAAAACAAAGAATATAAGTGACTACTTATACCCAAATGCAATGTCGTGCTGTCATTATTATAGTGCATAAGTTGATTATTTTCTGGATTTTTTAAAGCGATATCCGAAAGTAGATTAGAATTTGAAAAAGGCGCAATTTTGTGAAAGTATGTTCGTCGATTGAGTGTTGAAGACAAATAGTTTCGGCTGTTCCACGAGTCATTCAATTCCCGAAACTAACAAAATCTCTTCAAATCTCTTTGCAACTTTCAAAAAAACCCAGAAACCTTTTGTCTGTTTGAAAAGTGCGTATTTTTTCACAGATTTACTTGCACTCATTCCTTAAATGGAAGAATCCAAGATAACATTCAAGTAGGCAATTAATTCTTCAGCTTCCTCGTCACGAAAATTGAGAGGACTTCACAACAACATCCATTGATGGAAAACTGAGGTTTCATCAGTTGCAAAATAAAGTTTAAGTTAAAAATGCGTGTTGAGATGCATTTAGAACAAAGCTTTAAACTTCACGAATAAAGGGATTGCCCTGATTTTGAGCATTTAAAGCCGGAGTGGAATAGATCTACAACTACCACCTCTGTCAGTAGGTTTTTCATACGTCACTTTAACGCAGGGTGATGTCTGTGACCGAAAGCTTATCAAGCAACATGAATTTGTATAATAAGACGTGGTTACCCTTTAAACTCATATCTGATTTATTTTCATGTCCCACCACCATATATTGCTAGAATTTCAAGACTTACTTTACTCGATTCGGTCGTCCACTGAGTCGAGATGTTCTTAAATAAGGTTGACATATAGTGCCAATTCCGGAGAGATAAAGATCTTGTTTGGTTCGGTATGGGTTTGAGCCAGTTGGTATAGCGCGCCTATTGCGCGGCATTTATAACTACTGTGCTTCTCGCATCCAATACATATATTACTATGCGTAAATGACCATGTGAGTCTCCTTACCGTCATTGATGGTTTGCTTAAAACGGCTGTCAACTTGGGAGAATTCTAGAGGTATGGGAACGAATGGGAACGAGTCTCGCTTCGATCCAGGAAAATTGGTGACTGCCCGCGATGAGGATCTGACAGCACTACAATGGCTACGGAATTTGAAAGCAAGCACACAAGCAGAAGACGAACCCAAAATGAACATGACCAGCCCCATAGACAACAGCTGCAAGAAAACGGGACGAATGGTGAAGTGCTGGAATCAGCACGAAGTGGGAAGGAAGGCCATCGAAGTAAGTAGGTAGCAGCTGACCCTGTGTGGATAAAGTAAACTATATCACGCCCTTCCACTGTACTCTTTTTGGCTTTCCGAAAAGTCAGCAACGAGAAAAAAATTTTGATAATCAGTCCCAAGACAAAGACTATGATGAAAGAAGTTTTTCGGCCTATACCCATATGAGCTCTGCACGCCTTCAGAGTGTTGAAGAAAGGTGATGGATAGGTATGATAACTGCTGCTGATCGACTTCTTGGACTAATAAACGTATTAGGTTTTTTTAAAGTGTATAAAGTGAACACAGAATATTCTAATTAAAAAGACCATGTGGGTCATTCCTCAACACTTTTTGTCATAAATGACTTGCACTAGAATGACAAGAAAGAGAATTACGAGAAAGACAGAATTAATAGATAGAACTCTTATGTATTGCTGAGATATTTGTAAAACTCCGGACCGCAGGTGTATGCGGTGGGGAACGAAGCAGCGCACTTCTCCCGGTAAGGACAACAGCGCGTGTTCGTTCCCCACAGCATACACCTGCGGTCCGGAGTTTTGCAAATATCTCAGCATTACATACGAATTATATTTCGCAACATACCCTGCCATTAAGAAGAAAAAGGCAGTAAATAAAAGAGTTAAGATAATAGATAGATTTACGCCTAAGAGCTTGGATGTGATCCGAGCAACAGTCGCATTTCTTTCATTTGTGAACTGATAAGAAGAGATCGGACATCGGAGTGATGAGCGATAATATTCAAATCATACAACGCTCGCATGCTTCAGAACAACAGAGAAATAGGCGGATTAATTAAAGCTGATAAGATGTGCGGCAATTCAAAACCGAAATAAAACAATTGTGGCGGAAATGTTCCAAGCGACTTCACTTTTATAGCAATATCCAAGCCCTTCAATGCGAATTTAATGACAGCCTAGCAGCAAGCAGTCAAAGCTCATCGGATTCCCCAAAACCCTTCATTGCTTGGTTTTTTTCCTATTTTGGTTAAAATAACAAACATTTTATCAAATATTCATTATTTTGGTAAGAGATGCAATAATTACACGTGCGATCGTTTATTCGACGAAACCTGGGCCAAACAATCCGCCCACCCGCCCACTATTTGATTATTCACTGTCTATTCTTTTTTCGCGGCAGGGTACTATATGAAACACAACCACAAAGATGCTGAGATGTGAGCAGAACGTAGAACCGAAGGTGGGGCTTCGAACCCTCGATTGCCCTGTCCCCCTGGTAGCTTAAAAAACTAGCCGATAGAAAAGCAAAGCAAGAGCCACTGTTGATGTGGCGGATAGAACGTGAGAGTGTCAAGTACCACCTTGACCCCGAAAATCGCCGTGAGTGACAAATTTAGAAGAACGAGCTAACTGACAGGAATACTAGGATCTGCAGTGTTTAGAAACGGCCCACAAAAGACAGTACTGGACATTTTTCCCTTGTTCTTCACTTGTTTTTCTAACAGAACTCATTAAAATCTACTACAAAGGAAATAATTTCTGCATTAGGCCTTTCCGTTTATACTTAACCATTATTTTCCCAAATATCAACCTCCCAAATCAATGTCTAAATTACGAAAGACTATGAAGAAAAACAGTGACGTTATTAAGGAAATTTCCGACCATCTCATCTCACCGAGATTCTGTGAAAAAATTTCACCCTTTATTAACATACACTTGAAATATTTATACATCCTATATATTCTGTGTTATACATTTATTCAGTTTTTTTCACTCTTTCAATGCTCATTTTCTTCACTATGGTGAACAAGTGAGCTAACCTAGACAAGGAATGCGACATTTCTACTCGGGGGTCAAACATCAAGAACTAATTCCACGATTTACCTCCATCCTGAAGGTAACTCAGCAGCAAGGTGCCATTCCACCAATGACGAAAGTTGCCCGTGGTGACAACAAATGAACGTCTTAGCGATGTCATCACCACACTTCGGAGCGATGGTAGTAATAAAACTTATTCAGTTACCATCAAAATTCTAGTCAAATAAAAATGTGCCGATACTGCCCTCTCCAAAAGAACTGGCGAAGCTATTCAAGTACCTTAACAAGAATTTCTATTCGTTATCATCAGTGAACTTTAAATGGACAAGTTCATAAAGTTTACAAAGGATCATGAAATCCAGAGGAATCGCCTAGGGTGTGCACTTACCGAAGACGTCAAAAACACTAACGGTATGTTTGCAGTTTTGCAATTATATGATGAAATATTTGTGGTTTTGTAGTCTAAAACAAAATCATCACGTCCTTCGGTTGTACTTTCGTCTCTTATGTAACATTGAATAACAAAAAATAACAAAAACTAGAAAAACAGTTATTTTCTACCATGTTCTAAGAGTTCTTCTCCTACAATGTTCTGCGCCTTCTTATCCAGTTATTTTTTATGGATAATAGCGCTGGCTTAACTTGGGAACAAAAACTTGGAAATCCAGTTTAGCACAAAGATTAAGAGAATACTGTCCGCAACGGAATACTGATGACCGTAAAGCCATTTTTACCTTTCCGTTATCAAAAAATTCTTCATCCTAAGTGACGTAGTTGATGCAGATTAAAAGACCTTTCAAATCATGGACAAAAAAGTCCTATAGAGTAACGAGTATGCGCCAGTATGAAAGGAAAGTGCGAAGTCATAAAAGAACGAATAGTGAACAATATTTCAGCGAAGGAGAGAAGCAGAAGACCAATATGCAAAGCGGATTCCCCGTGCCTCGAAACAGTTTTAGTTTTATCGGAGAATGGTGATATTACTCAAGTACATTCTGCAGATTTATACGAACCAGGGAAAAGAGAAGTGGTAAGAAATAAGCAAAAGGATAGAATAATACTAGGATGACACTGAATTGAAAAGCACCATTTCAACCATAATGTTGCTGAGATATTTGCAAAACTCCGGACCGATGGTGTGTGCGGCGGACACCGAACACGCTATTATCATTTCTGTGGGCTAACGCTTTCACCACCACACCATGCAAGTTCTTCGTTTCTCCTGTCTCTCAGCCATGTTATTGACCTATAGGCGATATCAGCAATCACCCATCAGCGGGATTGATCTGGGGAGCACAAGTCGGCAGGAACGCAGTTAAGTACCAATTTACTAGTTTAATGGCGCGAATAACCAGACGAATAACCTTATCAACCATTTTCTTAAGAGGTTTCTCAAGGAAAGGCTTTCTATTAAGGGAATAAATTGTTAGTATTGAAGATATATGTAATATATTGGAAATCAAAAAAATAATCTTAAGGTTGAAAGCTAAAATCCGGATTAATCAGGTAAGCTCAAATAAATCCGAGCACGATCGTGGCAAACTTTGTCAACAACAACATATACTCTATAATGGTCGTTATTATTCATTTTTTTCACCTTTTTTGGCAGAATCGAATAATCGAATCAAGAGATTCGAGGCTTAGAGACTTACGTTTGACTGATTACTGCATCGATTACTCAAATGCGAATCAGTTCGATGTTGAGTTTTTGGGGAAGACGGTAATGGCAGATAGCAAACCGGTGCGTAAGACTGAAAATGATGCAATCGATTATCGACCGGAAACCGACTTTCGAAATTGGGCGTGTTGAAAGCAAATCAGTTTTTCAAGAGATATATCCACTTAATCATTTTTCAACAAAGCGATGAAACAAACGCGTCAAAACGACTGTGTGAGAATTTCGTAGCTTCAAGGTAATTCTGTTTACTAGATTATTTTTGTTTGAGTTCTCTTCGAAAAAAACCATGTATGAAACCTACACTCAGGCATTTGTAAGCAAATGATCTCAGGAAAGCACGAGTGGCACAGCGTACTGATCCCGTTCATTACATGAACGGCCCAACTTACTCAGCCACTAGTTCGACTGCGCTTATGGCGTACCATGCCTCGCGTCCCTTCAGAGTCGAGAAAATTGCTACCGAACTTGTCATATTCACTCTCTCGAACTGGTTCACTACCTCGAATTCACGGTGGAACGGCTCAGTACGGCTATCTCAGGATTACAGGGAGTATCCATTCGACCAACGTTCAGTGACATTAATGACGAAAAGTGGAAAAAACTCGCGCAGCGGCCAAAATCAATCACTTAAAGTTCGAAGACTTTCGTTAGTGGTGGATGCGAGGAAAAGGATCCAACGCAAGAAATCTTCGGATCCGCACAATATGATTCGTGTTCATGCTTTTCCTTGGCGAGCAGGCAGAGGTTCTCATTACACTATTTCTTCACAATAGCTGACGGTACGGCGCTTTCACCTTCTTCAAGGCCTAGAAATGTCAAACTAGCGTGCAGTGTACTCATCCAAACATTTTCATAGCCTGACCAGAGAAAATTTAACACATAACTTTAATTCGCACAACAAACAGCTTCCTTCAAACTGTCACGGTTTTTAAAAAGACTCACCAGATCAAAAACGGCTTCCTTTTAAAAATACTTGAAGAAAATGGTGATTTCCTTTAGATGGAAGCTTTGCTTGTGCAGATAAAATTTAGGTGTTAAACTTTTTCTGCTGAGGTTACGGAAGTGCTGAATGAGTTGGTAGCAGTTGAATTTGATTTTCCTAGCTCTGAAGAAGGCGAAATCACCCAAAAGTTAAATATTGTTAGTAAATAAATAACAACCTTGCGTCTGTTCATAAGGAAAACGGTGAACCCGACAAAACAAATTGTGCTTATTGATTTTTGTTATTAATGGACTAGTTCCTCCCAACGGTTTACCGCCTCGTCGTGGTTGGGAGGTGTTCCTGGGTGTCGGGCTGCGATGTACAACGGAGTGATTCGTTCCTCCGGCCGGGTCTCCCAAGCTGGGAAGGCGTCCGGCGTCATTCTCGAATGGACCATGTAAGTAGCGGTTGTCCTGTGATGGTGGAGAACTGTAGAGGTCCCTAGCTAAGAGTAAACCAACCCCAGGATCCACCACCGTCCTGGTATCAAAGTCGCATAGTGGGTTCAGGTTCATATCCCTTTGATCCACAAGGGCTGCGACTGCCTGTCGTAGTGAAGTCCTGCGGCAGACTTTGGCTAAACTGACGTCGGGATTCCAGGGAACCACAATGGCTTAACTAGCAAATCTCCGAAAAATGGGGATTATGCATGGGTTTGCAGAACCAGTTTGGACGGGCCATTGAAGTATCAAATATCAAGTGTCATTGGACTAATTAACAAGATACCGATGAAAGACGACCATCTATGATGGCCCAACCCATCCCATACGTATTGACTAATTGATCAAACCCATGTGTGTCATTTCAATCCATAACAGACACCTGTAAGACAGCTTTTCGGCAGTTTGTCTATAATGTCTCAATAAAATTGAAAAATTGATTGGAGAAGAAAATAAAGTTAGAAATTCATTCTAAAAGATAAAGCGATCATATTGTCTGGATCTTGCTTCATTTTTGAAACAAAGGTTCTAGAACGAATTCGTCTCTTTCGGTTCTTAAGAAATAATGGAAATAATATTTTTATGTGTTCAAGAGAACACTATAGAAATGGTAACTGGAGAAATGAACCGATTAGTTGCTCACTAGCCGACTCACATAATCATTCATGCCATAGTCATTCTCGAATGGACCATGTGAGTAGTGGTTGTCCTGTGATGGTGGAGAACTGTAGAGGTACCGTGTGGAATAGTGAGGAACCTGACGAAAGAAAAGTGGAAGTCGCAGTCAACAAAATGAAAAAGTGGTGAAATGGTCGAGGCAGAACTCGAAACTAACCTGCTTTTGTGGTGAGTTCGATCGATTTCGGCTTAATTTTTTGAAAAAGCTAGTCATCTGGAACCGAAAACTACGGTAAAGGTAAGAAAACGGGAAAAATAGTGTGTGAAGATATCGCCGAGACAAAAACACCGAAATGAAGGGCAGCAGTCGTAAATGTGTTCAGATTTCCACTACATTAGAGAATGGTGAAGGTTCTCAACTGAACGGCTAAGTGAACGGCAAAAAACAAAAGGCGGTGCAGAGCATATGTATTTATCGGCTGCTTTCGACTTATTTAACGACATTATCCCTTCGTTTTCAATCTTTCATAAACAGTTTTCACTATATACATATGGAAGCCGTCTAGTTGAACAGCGATAACACAACGGCTTCTCTTCGTAATTTCTAAGTATCTCAGTTCAGTTGACTGGTCAATGAAAAGTAGATAGCAAGGCATATTTTCACGAAAATGAGAACAGACACGGCAGCATCAGTTTGAGGTGTTCAAAAGTTGCTTAGAAAGTCTACAGTGTGACGACAACTGTCAGGAATTAGATGAAGATACCAAGGGAACAACTTTGATCTGAGACATTACTGTAAAAATAAGTGTGGTTGTTAGTAGTACTTGTTTTTAGAACTTTATAAATCCAACTCGAACAAGGTTTCGGTAGAAACAGGTGGGTAAATGATGGCCGTGAAAATCCATCGTAATACCTCATTCAATAAGGAAAACCTGCGGGAAATAGTTATCTTAGGAAGAAAATGGAATCTTTTCGAACATCGTCATGTCCTGAGTAATGAAGCTAACAAATAACACATCTTAAATATGCTTATAATTGTCAGACCATCAATATGACTTCATCTCAGAGAGGAAGAAGGGTGAGAAGTAAAACGACTGAACAAAAAACAAAAGGTGGGGCGTTTTTTTCAAAATCGACTTTCATTCAACCACCACGAATAACCAATATATCGTTGTGTCCATAAAGCGGTTACTAAATCCTTATTGTGGCCAACGTTTTTGCTCGTTCACAGTCTTCAGAGTCAAAGTGATTCGAGTCGATCATTCACAGTTTTTACTTCTTGGGATGTAGGTCTTCGTTGTAGCGTTGAATCAAAGCGAGTGAAGTGAAGCACCACAGAAGTGAACTAACTTCGCTCGAAAGTGCTCTTTTATGGAGGATATTTTTGACTTCATTATAAGTTGATAGTATTTTGTTTTTGTGAGGACCATCACCAGTGTAGCACAGTGGATAACGGTGTCCTACAATTCGAAATGGATCGAGGGCCGTTGGTTCAATGCTACACTACGTGTTCATGAAGCCATCCATTCCTGTGGATTCTGCTAAATGGTACCAAACATGACTGATCGGATAAAAACACTGACTTGATACATCGGTAGGCCGCTATAAGTTATGGAATAGGCCGGGTACGAATTCAATAATTTCTTTGATCCTACGAATATGGTTAAATTTATGGCACATCCTTCAAGGATTGATCAACGGCGTCTTATGCTTTCATCGATCACATCGACGAGGTTGAAGTCAAGTCGCTCATTTGAACTATTAGAAGATGGAGATTGTTCTACTCTGTGAAATCTTCTTCACAAAGTCATTAGAATTTGACTATGAGCGCGACAATTTAAGGCGAAAAAAATGAACCACTTTCTTTCCTTGACGACTTCTTACTCCATGAGCTCGTCATTGGTGTTCGTCATATGTCTAAGGGACAGTTGCGTCGAAAAAATCTGCATCATGGCGCTAGATTTTTGATGAGCACAGAATCTGACAAGAGGCAACTGTCGATAACAACGATTTCGTAACAATAACGTTAGTGAGGAAAAATTGGTATAATTATTCCTATTGAGTTATCGCCTTGATATCGTCAGGTCTGATGTAGTAAGCGGCTTCCTTACATTGATTGGCAAGCCACCAGTGTAAATTATGGAAATTATATATATAAATATAAAAAGCACGACGATGTTTCGCCGAAATACAGTATTCACGTTAACACAGGGAACGAAAAGAAAAGACGTTCACAGAAAAGATAGGATGAATGTTTCTATTTCTGCAAACATTCCTAATCCAAAACTAATTGAGAGAAACTTGTCGATATGCAGAAAATGTGCATAGGACTAAGACCTCAAAAAGAAAACTGGTAATAGAATCGAGAAGCTCTCAGTGGTATGAAAATTTTCAACGGTATTGAAATGAATAAGGGCGCGTGTAGCGCAGTGGCTGGAGGCGCCACTACGACACACACGTGAAACCGATCCCCGCGCTCATGGCCCACCAAGCCTTCCATCCTTCCGGGATCAGCAAATTGGTACCGGACTTATCTGGGAGGATGGCTGCATTGGCTCGATACATCGGTAGGCCACAGCAAGTCATGGTAAAAGCCAGATATGCATTCAATCACCTCCAAACGATGCTTAATGAAGTCGAATGCATGGCGCATCCCTCAAGGATTGATCAGCGCGGAGAGTTTTTTATGAACTTTATTGAAATTGATGTTACAAGGATTAGAAATATAAAATTATAGAGAGGAAAGAACTGTATGAAAACAAGAATTTAACAAAGACCTATAAAACACTAAAACACTGGAGAAGTACGGTACTACTGCAGATGCGATGCAGAAGAGATGAGTAAGGACAGAGTAGAGAATTTTGTACGTATGTACGTATGTATGTATGTATGCATGTAAGCATGTATGTATGTATGTATGTATGTATGAATGAATGAATGAATAAATAAATAAGTAAATAAATAAATAAATAAGTGAATAAATAAATAAATAAATAAATGACCCATAATCGAAAATGAGTACCACTGAGCGGAGATAGGTTTCAGTTACGGGAAAAACCATTACATGGCGTCGAGCAAAGTTTTCTTTATACTTCTACGTGCAGAGCCGAGCTTTTCCCTCTGCTCATGTCCGCCACAGCATCTGAGTTGGACGAGTCATCGATTGATTACAAAACGTAGAAAAATGACTCTTTGTGCCAAAATAAACCATCAGGAATAAAGTGAGCTATATAGAAGTCATACGGGTCGTAACGTTTCAGTACAAATGAAATTCACACAGAGATTTTGCTATCAGGAATTTGTTAGGGTCCTATTGGTTGCTTTCTTTCTAACGGAACAATGAAACAGGAGAAGAAAAATGCATAGTTGTGAAAAATCTCTGTGGTCCCATAATATCAAAGATTGAGCATTTTTCTGAGTAGTTGAATTTCCTGCCTCGACTTTTGAAATCTTTAAGCACAGCACTGTTTCTTCTCGCTCCGTAGTCTTCCTGCTCCAGTTAATGTTAAACGGAACGAAATGTTCTCAGGAAAGATGAGATATGTGACGAAGGAACATTTTTACACATTGTTTTTTCTATCCTACCGTTTAAAAAGTCATGCACGTCTTATTATGACTTTAGCTTACGAACTTTTTTGCTGGTAAAATGTCTTACAAAAGCTGTCTTTGTTCCCGTTGCAAAGAAACATTGGTTATTAAACTTCACACGGAATGAATCCAACTGCATTTAGTGAGGTAAGTGATTTTTGTTTCGATGGGAAGAATGTTTTCTCCTCAGAGAAAAAGAAGAGGTAGACTTGAACTATTATCACTGCGTTATCAATTTGCGATGATAGGCATTTTCTAAGATTAGTGAATAGGTAGGATTTAATTTGAAACATGAAGACATTTTATAAAGTCTCGATGGTGGATCGACCGATGTGAGGAGTGCAACAATAAATCAATATGCATAGGGGCTTCAACAAGCTGTCGTCGTCATTGCTTTCATGTTGTAAATATTTGTTAGGTGTTCCATAGCTAAGAGAAAAATTTACAGGTGTAACGACTTTTAGGGGGCGTGTAGCGCAATGGTCGGAGGCGCCCTGCAACACACACGTGGACTCGATCACCGCGCCCATGACCTTCCAACCCTTCCAACCCTCCGGGGTCGGCACACTGGTACCAGACTTGTCTGGGAGTATAGCAGCACTGGCTCGATGCATTGGTAGGCCACCGCGAGTCATTGTAAAGGCCAGATATGCATTCGATCGCCTCCAAACAATGCTTAATGAAGTCGAATGCATGGCGCATCCCTCAGAGGGATTGATCAATGCTGAGAGGTTTA